ATTTGTACAATTGTGCGCGGACAGAAATTAAAATTAGGGATCTTTTGGGCTCGATTCTTACATTAACTTGTATCATTTATGTATGTGTACTAACGATTGTTACACTACTTGGTATCATTTTTATCAACAATTTATAACAATAAATGATTTCAGTCGCTGCAAATACAACTCACTCGTTGTCAGTGAATTCATATAACATTTCACTAGAAGAAAGAATATTGTTACGAGTTATAAAATTACAACATAATTGTGGTACGATAATAAAATCGTACGATTATTCATATAAAACTTGTATAATACTTTAATAATAATAAATAATATTTCTAATAAACAAATTTCCGATAGATCCAACAAATGATATATCTCACGCCATTTCAAATATCCCGCCGCGAAAGTGTTAACAGTTTCGTAAGTAACCTTGCCTGCTGCTTCGCGTAAAAGACGGAAACACACACAGTGACACGGTGGAGCACGATCATTTTTGCACGACTGACCTTGCCCCACTTGCCCGCGCACTCACAATTACCTGAAATGCATCCTGACGGATCGAAATCCTACGCTCTTTAATCGATTTGCAACTCCGTCGAAAATTCAACCTTTTGCAAGCCGAGGTCAAGAATGCCATTCTAATCTCATAAGGGATATTCTCGTTCCACAGCGACGAGCAAAGGCTCCAGAATGTAATAAAATACGGTGGCAATAAAATTAACAGAATTTCCGAGAGCGTCGTCAAGGGACCGATTAATCGGTCAACACGTTTGTGTCACGAACCCTTCGGAGGTTTTCCTTCGCAGTAACGAGACCTTCGTTTGCCTTCGAAAGACAAAAGAACAAAGGAGAAACGAACGCATTTAATATCCAACGGATAAGCCACATTTCAAAAGTTTGTGGAATGGAAGGAAAGGAAGGAAAGGAAGGAAAGGACAAAATACCGAGGCTAGTGCATCTGGAGGCTATTAAGACTTTTACGCTTAATGGGCCATATTCGTACAGAGCCGACGAGGATTAAGACTTTTACGCTTAATGGGCCATATTTGTATAGAGCCGACGAAAGGAATATCTGACGATCCACCTGTTAGATTTTTAGGCACTTTTGTTTCAAAGAGATTTACATTCCTTAAATTCCCCTTGCAGCAAGCTAACCTAATGACTCGGCTAGCTAAATCGTTTCGTCCATTAACACTGCTACCTGGATTATCGGACTACTCGACGTACTAACCGAAGAACAAAGAAGCGAATCCTAACGTTTCACGCAACGTGCCGGCCACCACTTTGTCTCCGAGCAGACATCGCGACGAATTAATCGAGCAAATTGCCGCTGAATGTTAAATTGATATTGGTAAGAGTAAGCGAAACGCTGATACTGCATTTCGCGTAGTGCGTGCGCAAGCGAAACGCCTCGATCGACATAGTGCCCTCTCTACTCTCGCCGCCGTCGTCGCCGTCGACGAACTTTCTCTATCCGCGTAAACGAAATTTCTTTGTCAATCGCGGCCCAGACGATCGAAACGTCTGAGAGATCTGGAAAACATTGTTGCGACGAATTGTACGATTGAATTTCAGCGACGTGCTGGGCTGCGTGCACGACTTGGTCGAAACACAGAGGCATTTAAAAAAAAAAAAGAAAAAAAAACAGAAGCAAACCGGCAGACCGGTTAGACGTCAAGGAGATCAAGCCACTGGTCGAGCAATCGAGTAAAATGAATCTTTCATGTCACACTTACCACCGGTCGTCATCATTGTTCGAAGCGAGATACGGATTGTTTGAAGCAACTACGTTGCCTCGTGCGCATCGCGATACCGATACCGATACATCATGTACATACGTATGCCCCCGCGAAATAATATGCGAAAGTAGGATAAAATTCAAAAGAGAATCACGTAGACTCACCTCGATAGAGTGCCCTTGAGGAGAGGATTCCTGTCGTCATAGTATCCACCGGCGGACGACATCTTCAAGTAATCCAAGCAATAGGCACGTGGCATCCAGCACTAACACTACAGCACTGCATCACTGTCGCGTGATCTGTTAACTTTCCATTCACCGTGTCAACGTTACATTCGGTCAATCACGTACACGATGCATTGTTTTTCGAAGAGAAACAAAGAGGAAAAAAAAAACCGAAAAAATAATTAAAACTCACTGATAGTTAGTTAGACAGTCGACACTCACGTAAATACATTTTACAATTGTCCGACCAGGCAACAATCGGATGATACCGTCAACAAATTGTTAGCACGTCTCGCGAGTCTCGCTAATTGTCGACAATCTCTCGATAGTATGTTCTCGTATGTTTCTCGAACAAGAGTTGTGATCCGACTGGTCAGCTGCACTCTTCAACGATCTTCTTTCCGACTGACCGGTAGCCACCTAAACACAGAAACGTTCGTTTAACAAGTTGCTATTTTCACGCCCTCTCCGCAATGCTTTCAAACTACCTGGCAGTTCACAAGTCTGAACGTGGCCGCTTATCGAGTAACCCCCACCCCTCCACCCATGATTCAGTTGCATTTACAAATTTTCGCAAAACAAACACGTTCGAGAAGAAACAATCGTTCGATTATTATTCGCTTCGTCTGGTTTGCCGCATTTGGCGGTTAGTTACATTATTATATAGATTTTCATTCGAGCCGAATACATTATTACAAACAGTAATAATGGCGCCAAAATATTGCTACGTAGAATACCCGCTCGGGTGAAAGTCCTTGCAGCAGGCATTCGCCAGCGAATTTTCGTGCTTCGAATCGCCGAACCTGGACCAAACGATTCGTCGTTCCCGCTTCGTGCTCGATCGAGCAAAGACTATGAAGCTAGGATCAGAAGGGGGAAAAAAGTAACGATTCACGCGCGTGTTTTCCAGCGAAGGAACGTCAAGTGTCAAGTTTCTTGTTGAAAGTGGAACGTGCCAGGTGAGTCCGTCAAGCACGTCGTTTATTTATAAACTAAGGGAACCCGGGAAAGAACGCAGGAGCGACGGAAGCCAACCAAGTGTCCCTCTCGCGTTTCGTTTACCGTTCGTAAACTACACTCGGCGCGTACTTCGAGGACCACGTGCTACTTGTCCGATCTTTCGATTGGTCGTACGATTTCAAGATGGCGCGACTATTGACCTGTCAATGCAAATTCACGGTCCGCACAGCGCTCTTTTCCTTTTCGGAAATTTCGAACGTCATAGTAGCCTGAAACTTGCAACGGCAGTTGAACTGTTTATTTTTTTTCTTTTTCTCATCCTGCCGCTGCAACGAATGAGAATCGTCCGAAATTTTGAGAAAATCGAATATCGGAAAATCGAATAATAATCTTATTGAAATGTTGCATTTATACGCGGACATTTGAAAGAAAAATCTTATAAACGTATAATCATTATTACAGACACCTGAAATATGTTATTCAGTACGCGAAGAATCATCCATTGCAACAGTATGTCATAAGCTATAATTATTCCTTTCTCTCACAGGTTCTGACTCGTCTATACACTTTCACTGTATCTTCTATGACTCTTGAATCAAACGCGCAATAAAATTGTCGACACAATAGCCAAT